GACTGGAATCAATGGGCATTGGGGGCAAACTCTCCAGTGGTTGGAGTCATACCTGACACTTAGAAAGATGGTCGCGGTTGTGGGAGGTCAGTCATCTCAGCTCCAGGACATCTCTGCAGAAGTTCGTCAGGGTAGTGTCCTCGGCCCAACCATCTTCAGCTGCTTCATTAATGACCTTCCCTCTATCATAAGGTCAGAAGTGGAGATGTGCAATCATCGGTGAACAATTCCAGCACCATTCATTACACCTGAGATACTGAAGCAGTCCGTGTTGAAGTAAACAAAATCTGGACAATACCCAGGTTTTAGCTGACAAGCGGCAAGTGACATTCACATCACCCAAACACCATCACCAATAAGAGACAATCCAATCACCACCCTTTGACATTCAATGGTGTTACCATCACTGAATCCCCCACTATCAACATCCTAGGGGCAATCGTTGACCAGAAACTCAACTGGACTCACCACATAAACGCAGTGGCTACAAGAGCTGGCCAGAACCTAGGAATACGGCAGTGAGTAACTCACCACCTGAATCCCCAAAGCCTGTCCAGCATCTACAAGGCACAAGTCAAGAGTGTGATGGAATACTCCCCACTTGCTTGGATGAGTGCAGCTCCAACAACACTCAAACTTGACAAACTTCCGGGACAAAGTAGCTCACTCGATTGGCACTATATCCACAAGCATCACTCCCTCCACCACTGATGCTCAGCAGCAGTGTACACTATCTACAAGGAGCACTGCAGAAATTCACCAAAGATCCTCAGACAGCATCTTCCAAACCCACAACAAGGGGGTTCCATCCAGAACGACAAGGGCAGCAGATATATGGGAACATCACCACTTTCAAGTTCCTCTCCAAGCCACTCATCATCCTGACTTGGAAATAAATTGCTGTTCCTTCACTGTCGTTGGGTCAAAATCCTGGAATTCCTTCTCCAATGCCATTGTGGGTTAACCTACAGGTGGACAGCAGCTCACCACCACCTTCTCAATGGCAAGAAATGCTGGTCAGCCAGCGACGCCCACATCCCACAAATGAATAAGGAAGAAAAAACTGAGTCTCATTTCTTCAGTCTCAGGTGTTTTGACATAGAACCATGGAAGATAATATAGCAGTTTGTCATTGTCCAGATAGCAGATTACTTTGAAACCAGAACATAAGCTAAGAGTTAAGGAAACATTCTTGGACTTAACGATTCATTTCACAATTCTAAAAACTTTTAATTGATTTCAGAATCTCCAGAGAGAGAACAAGATTGCTCCTATTAGATTGTACATGCTGATGGATTTGGTGACTGAGGGAATTTTTTGGCAGTTCTACTGTTTACCTATTGGAAATTGAAATTCACTCAACTAGGTTAGCCACAAGTAGTTGGCAGTACACAGGTAATGGAGGAATTCAAGAGGCAGTAATATTAAGTGTCTTATGTACATAAGACAATCACATGAAAAAGAAAAGTGCAAGAATAATCAACACCACTCTAGAGGTGACAGTGCATAAAGGAGCTGCTGCTGCTGATTTTCTGCATTGGCTTGGGCAAATAGGAGTTGAGGTCAAGCACAAGTGAATCAACAGCTGCAGTAGGGCATACGGGATAAAGTCTCACTGTCAAGGAGGATGTACTTTGTAACTTTGATTCAATCGAGGTTCAAATCCAATTTGATAATTTTAAATATGGAGTTGTGAAAAAGATGCTCATGGATTTGAAGTACTTTGAAGAAAACGATTAGTGATGATTTGGCTTAGGGATGGGTTTAGAGAAGATGGGGAGTACTTTGAGTGGGAACTGATTACATAGCCAGCTGGCTTGTGATCAGGAGGCAAATTAGGTATAGGTTTAGAGAAGCAGGAGCTGGAAATCGTGGACAAAGTGAACTTTTTGCAGAGAAAAACTAGTGCAAGGTATTTTCGGGTTCAGGGCAATGGAGACCCTGGTTAGGGGGAGTAGGGGGGCTGAATAAGCAGCAGGTGAGAGGGTGGTGATTTTATTTGCTAAGGTAATGGGGAAAGCAGAACTGTCAACTAAACAGATGATTCTCGATCTTGCTGAAAAAGTGCACAGCTGTTTTTGAGTATGGCAGAGGCAGGGAGACTTTAAAGAAGTGGCTGGTCGTGGAGAAAATAACCAGGCACTTGCATTGCTGATCAAAATAATCCCAAGTGAACTTTTGACAAGTGTGAATGGAAAATTAATAATCCAACTGGATCTGCCTACGGATGGCTGGACCAATTAAGCAAAGCTGCTCATAAGAACAATGAGATTATACAAGTAGGCTGGGAGGAAATGAAAAGACATTTGAATTCTGTGGCTGATTACAAGACAAACATAACCCAGAATTGCCCTCAGAGCTCTAACTTGCAACTTAAATGTGCTGTATTACATTGGAGAGCCAATCTGGTGGGCATTCCTAAACCAGCTTATGCACTTCCAGATGCATGTCACATTTGTTCTTTTTAAATTCATCAAAAAATTTTCCTTAGATCTTAAACTTACTTTAAGATATTTTTTAAAATTTCACTTGGAGGTATTGTAGGACTTCCTTTGTTTCTGTAAGGTACAGAATGGTCCATCATTCCTTATGCTCAAGGCTGGGGAGAAAAACTGTTCGTTGAGCATCTTTTAATGATCACAAGGTGTCCCAAGATACCTACAACCAATTATGTACATTTTGATTTAATACAGAAAACATGACAGCCAATTTATATTCAGAAAGAAACTTAATATTTTGAGTCCAATGTAACTTCAGAACTGAAAGACTGCAAATTGTCTTTTTCTTCTGCTGTTGATGGGCAGGAGGAGCAAATATAACAGATAGTGAGAATACCCAGAGCAAAAGATGAAGGGATTACTAATGGTGGTAAAGAGAATAATGTAAAATTGGTGTAAATAGTGAATGAAAGAAATTTGGATCTGCTCTTAAGAGCAAAGACCACAAGATGTCGTTGATGGTTTGCATAAAGGGAAGAAGTCATGGAACTCTTTTAATTCTGTTTCTCTCTTCAGAAGCTGCCAGATGTAATGTGTATCCCTTTTGACCATCTTCTAGGTGTGCCACATTGAAGACTTTTTTTTAATTAATTATTTACTACTTTTTCTCTCCTCCTCCTCTTCTCCTCCCCACCCCCAACCAGGCCAATATGAATGTTCCATCACGTGGGCTGTGTCTGCTTCTGCCTTGTTTTAATTTCCTTAACCTTGTCCATGGAGCAACTGGACCTGGAAAAACCTTCACGGAATGATGTACAATCTACAGCTGACACTGTTCTCACACAAAAATGTTTGTACTGAATTACTCTTGTTTCTTTTCAATGCAAGCATTAGCTAATTAGCATTAGATGGCAACATGGCCACACAGCAACAATATGAATGGAAATGTATATTCCATGCTTCAAAAAAAAAGCTGTCCCACAATTTTCCCCTCAATGAGCCAAAGTTTACTGAATTTTCTTCCTATTACAATCACTTTAATTTTCTTTATCCTGCACTTTAGTTAAAGCCTTTGCTGATTCAAACTTTTTAAAGAAGCTAATGGAGTTAATACTAGTCTTGAAAAATGTTTGCTTGATGTACAAGAGTTGCATTTGAGTACTTTTGTTATTGGTGTATATTGCTTAAATTATTTTGATGTGGAGCTGCCAGTGTTGTACTAGGGTGGACAAGGTCAGAAGTCACACGGCACCAGATTATAGTCCAACAGGTTTGTGTGAAATCACAAGCTTTTGGAGCAATCCGAACTTGTTGGACTATAATCTGGTGCCGTGTGACTTCTGACCTTTTAATGGTTTTTTTTTTGCACATGAAGTGATCCACAATGTTAAATCTAATTAGTATCTTTGCTACAACAGTATTTAAATATAGGATTTCTCATCATTCTTTCCCCAAAATCAGAATTTACCACTGAAGAAGCTACTTAAACATATTTGTGGAAAGAAGGAACAAAAATAAACGCTGTCAGAAGTTCAGCCTTGTGGTTTAGTTATTGTCATTGAATATTATTTGAGGAATAAGCACTATATCCTTGTTAATCTGTAAATTTCAGCATCATTTGAAGAAACGACCTTCCTAACTACCAATCTCAATTCCTTTAGTATTTCTTCAGGAATTAAATTCCATTACAAAGGTGTGCTCCTTCCTAGAGTCTTCTGCAGTGTTTTGCCATTCAAGTTAGAGATGATGGTTATTGTAGAGTGTTTTTCTAATTAATTTGAGCTCGAGTAGACAGTGTTAAATTTGCTTCAATATATATTTGAG